CATTTAGCTTTAAATCTGGCGCAAATACTGATGCCCAGTATGGTTCATCCGCAAAAGTGGATGTATCTGTGTGTGTGTGTTTATAATATAACTATAGATGATCGATTGAAAACTCGCATTTATTCATAATGGAGATAATTGGACAAAATAAACCAATTTTATAATGCACAATTATACGGTATAATATGCATGTATATGGGACATGCACAGTTCAAATATTCGAGCTTTAAATTTATGAATCACAAATGTAATTGATTTTCAGTTTTAACTTCTATAGTTAATATAGATGAAAATTGTACTTGAATACAAAATATTAGTATTTTTAACAAATATACAAATAAAACATGTAAATCATCTATATAACTTTCTATACAGAATATTGATTTAGTAATACAGTGAAACCTCGCATAACGAGCATTTCACTTAACGAGAAAAATGAATTGTAAGAAAAATGACTCGCTTAACGAGCGACGTTTCGTATAACGAGTGACGATGAGAAGAAAAGACTCGTTGCGCGTCTTCTACATCATTTTTAAAACTTGTGTACACATATGTGAATATGTTTCACTATACGAGTAAAAATCCGGAAATTTTGGAACTGTATTTTTTTGGAACACAAGACCAGCGCCCAGAGGCGCATCAAACGTAATAGTATTGTTTTCTTGACGATGTGGGGCGCAAATAAAATATTTGACATCTTTGATTTTATGAGGAGGTAGCGCAAATTAGATATTTGTCACCAGGCGCAATATTTCTTGCACTGCAAAAGACGCACTTTTTTTACATGTCTTATGGTCCGACGGTAATTGTTTTTTTCGAAAAATTGTACCATATATTTGGGATGCATCTTATTGTCCAAAAAAAAATATATTTATTTACAATTGTATATTGATTATAATTTGGGTCAAAAAGGCCTTAGTATTTCTGCCCAGTACATATTTCTGCCTTACATTTGTTGAAGGCAATTTCATAGATTTAATGTGTATTTTTCAGAAGCAAATAAATCCAAAAAAAGTTAAAATCACCAAAAAAAAAATCAGACTGGATATTTTCCCAATTCATAATAATTTTTGTCTTGAAATAATTGAAAAATCTAAAGAATATTTCAAGGATAAAATATTTAAAATTTTCCAATTTATAATAAGTTTCTATAACAAAAATGTTATTATTGCTAAAAAAATTGTGAGGAAATTATCAATTAATTGGAACTGAATGTTTCTTGAACAAATTTAAATGAATTTATTGAAACACTACAAAAAAATAGTACTTAAGTTAAAGATGTTGCAAGTGATATTCCTGTTGGTTCTTTCGTTTTTAAGTTGACTTTATGATACTTCAAAGCAGAGAATTGGCAATTAAAATATTTGACTATGACATTAAGTAGACTATTAAAGTTGCTAAATATAGCTCTATGGCTGCAATTGTAAAATTTCTAAAGAAAGTTAAAAACTAACCATTTCTAAAGATTCTACCACTAATTTATAGTTCAGTATTATAAATACATAAAAGTTTAAAATGGACAATCATTATTTTCTGTGTTTCTTTCAGGGCTATAGTATAATTGATTTGTCTCAAGTTTATTTAGGATTGTTTTTATCAGGTTACTAAAAACGTATTGTTGTTTAACGGGAAATTTAAATATTGGAGTTTTTAAAAAACCCGCTCTACCACTAGTTTATATACAAAAAATAAGCATTGTAATAATACAGATTATAATTTCATCAACACATAAATAATTATTCGCAACCAAATTTTTGCTGTTTTTGAAATTCCTAAATCTACACAAATTCCATAATAAAGCCTTCTTTATATTTTTGTCTAGCGAATAAACGAAATTCATCTTATTTAGACAAAAAACAAATCACATGTATCAATTTGAAAAAACTCTTATATTTTATGGTATAAGAACATATGTAATATCATTACATAATGAATTAAGAAAAATGCATAAATGTAATTAGAATTTTGTTATTTGTTTGGAAATAAAAATAATTGAATACTGGAATAAGGAAATTTGGTTTTCTTTCAAAATAAAAATAGACATAGAAGAAGATATGATGACATGTGTGCCAACTTAATAATGTTGAAATAGTTTAAGAAAAAAAATGATAAGTTTTGAAGAAAACTCTTTTCTCTATATTTTAATAAGAAAATTTCATAAATGTAATTAGAGTATTGCTATTTGTTGGGAAATAAAAATAACTGAATACTAGAATTGGGAAATTTGGTCAATAGAAAAAAAGCTTTGGTTTGGATTTTGTGTGGAATTGGAGATGAATAGAACGAAATAAAAAAAAATAAACGTTATACTGAAAAAGCTGTAAAGCATCGAGTATATTTAATTCAACCCGTTAGCATTATTTTAACCGCCACTTGTTTTCCTTTCATATATATTTTATTTATTTTTTTGCATTTGCTCCATTTTAATTTTCTCTTTCTCTCTTTATTTGGCACTGCATTTAACATTTTAATCCGACGGCTAAAAATGAGGGAGGGCTTCGGTGTCGTCGTCAGCGGCGGCGGCGGCAAGTGGATAGATATGTAACGGACGAGTGGACGGCTTATTTAACGCAGGATTAACTTTTATAAACTGTTGACACATTTCCGCTAGGACCCACGTGTATCCGGCGGGAACCGCGGAGGCGGCGATTTTTCCGCGCGCGTGTCATGCGCGTCCCGCCCCCAAGAAAATCTCACCGTTCCCAAGAAAACTCTCCGCGTCGGATAAGAGAGAGATTTTCTTACTTCTCCGGCATTCAAATCACTCGAGAAATCTTCACGAAAATATGCTCAAAAATTACTTACTTTTTCATTTCATTCTGATACAAATTTAGACATTATTGGTTACATAATATATGAAATTTCACAAGTAACTTAAGAAAATATTTTCAAAACAAAATCTAATACTCATGGATACTGACTCGTACTTGATAAATCATTTGTTATATATTATGTAACGTATAGTTAAAATTTCCAAATCATCTAAAAAATGCTTAAGAATTTATATATTGTGCAGTTTTATATCATTTTCAATTGTTGTAAAGGTGAAAAATGTAAAGAAAATAATTAAAGAAAGTTAATAAAATGTAAAAATATAACTTTTAAATGTATTATATAATAAAATATAGGCACTTCTTCAAGTTATTTAGAATTTACATTTAACTTTAAATTTTAAATATTTTTAAAACTGTATAAAAATTAAATTGAATTCTTCCATTTTGTCTTTAAATATACATAATAATTGTTAAAAAAAAACTGTATTGACTACATAATTCAAGATATTTAAGAAATAATAACAAAATAAAATAATATTTTTAATATTACACCTTTTACTGACTAAATAGCAACGTTTTTCATGTGATATAAAAAACGTACTGCTTTTATTGTTTGTTGGATGAAAATTTTCTGTTACTTGTTTTTGTAACTGTTCACTTCGAATACTTTCAAATCACATATTATGAACAAAGATAATTAAATTATTTTGCTTTAAACTAGTATTTTCAGGCTTTATTTACAGAACATATTCATACTTTTATATGTAATTAAAAATGTTTCAAATTATTTTGTAATAAATGAATTATATAATGTTTCAAGAGAGAAACAAAACAAGTAACTTTAAATTATTTAATTATTTGTGTTTTAATCGTATTATCATATATTGGTATAGAGTACAAGAAAATTCTTAATTTCTTTTATATTATAACAATTAAATTTTAGATTAATTATTAAATAAAATCATTATTTTAATTATTTAACCAAATATAATAAATAATCATTATATTCTCTACATTTTCATTCATTATTTAATTAATTAATTATTTTAATTTTCTATTGTGTAATTAAAACCTGCAGTTTCGTGTTGTGAATTACAAGTTATTTACAAGAAATATTTAGCAATTGAAACTGACGTGAATTGAATCTGATGTGACTTCAGTATTCACAAATCATTATTTTACAATTTGTCTTCACTAATCACGTTCTTTTGTATTATTTCATTATTATTACATCATTATTTGATCATTCTTTAAACACATACAAGAAGATAATATGTAATAAATATTTATTATTGAACTTTTAACATATAAAACTTTATTTTTCAATTATATGACAACATTTGATCTAAAAATGTATTAGTAATACTTTACATAATTAGTAGATATTAATTAAGATTTATTAATGATAATTAATAACTACCATTAGTTTTAAGTATATTTTCTATCATTGGTTTATTTAATTTAATGTAGTTTTTACACTATTCCTATATAATTAATTGTAGAATATTAATAGATTAAGTAAATACGAATATATTAAATTATTTGCTTTACTTATTTGATAAATAGTTACATTCTTAACAAAATATAATACTTCTTGTTGTTTTAACACCATACTTTGTTAATTGTATAAATAATACTGAAGGCTTAACTACTCTATTAATAATTTCTTTCAAATACAAATATATTTTATATATACAAAGATGAAATTTGATTAGTTTTATCTCGAAAATGTAAATATGAATATACTAAACAAAATACGATCAAAGAGTACAGTTCTGGCACATTATTTATTGTTCATTTCTAATTTATTTCAAAGCTATTTAAAATTAATTACAGTAATAGTTTTAAGAAATTAATGATTTATTATATTGAATACAGTTTAATTAATACTTTTTATTAAATTATTTAGTGAATAGAATTGTTTTGTTTACTAATTACCTTTTTTACTAACAAAATACAAATAATTTCAATGTAATGTAAGGATTGAAACTGTTGTTTATTGTTAATTTCTGATTTGGTTGAATTGGATTTCCAATTAGATACAATGTAGAAGGGTTGAATAGACGTTCAATTAAATCTTATTATTGTCGTTTGATGATGGTAAAGGGGGTGCTAAAAATGTGCGTTAAGATTAAAAGGGAACGTTCGCGCGTGTAACTGGGCTAATTGCGTTAATAACAGGGGACTAAGTAAGTTAAGAAAGTTGTATTTGAGGGGTTGGTTTACCTCGTCCGCTTCTACCGACGAACCGAAGATCATTGAATTTCGCCACCTGGTTCTTCATCACCGCCGTGCAATTCCTCAGCTCCGCACAGTAATTTTCATCGTTTCCAGCTCGCACCGTAACGACGGTGCCGTCGCCGATGTCACCTAGTGCAACCACCTTGAAGGCGACGGGTAAAGTCTTGTTGGATCTCCAATGAGGAGGAAGGACAGTGCATACAAAGAGCGGACTCCCGGTGCGGATCAGTTCTCCAGGATGCTCGGAAAGGAAGTCGTTGAGGGTGCGCTCCGCCAGTATATCGCTGGTCATCTTGCTGTAGGTGTCGTTGATGATGTTGGTACCTTCTGGGGATGCGGCGGCACCCGTCGCCGTTTGGCTGGTGGTGTTGGTGAGGTGCATCTCGGATGGTTCCCAGTCACCTAACATTAATCACCACCAGACACATTTAAATTTCGGCTCCTTTTTTCTTTACTCGAAATCCTCAATTCTCACACATCCACATGCATATACATACACCGGGGGAAAAATATGAATCGCGTATGTATCACACGCACCTCAGCTACGTGTTGCTAGGCAACATATGACGTAGCGTCAACAGTTATATATATTTTTTTATGCCTGATTCTTGCATGCGGGGGCGGTCGTCAGAGGTGGCGGCGCACTTTTTAAATTTTTTTATAATTTCAGCTTGTCACATTTTTGCGCGCACTTTCGTATGGAGAGGATGCACAGGCCGCGTGCTGCCCGTTCGGAGGTTGTTCTAATAGTAGCGTCGCGACGCCTCGTGTATGCACGCACGTTAAATTCAAAAATAAAATATACAGATAATGATGAACGTCGAATGGAAATAAGCGCGTAAAAGTTTCGTAAAGTAAGTTTAAAATTTGATCCGTAGGGTTGTTTCCGTGGATGGAATGTATTCGCTCGCGCTAGGTGTAGTTTAAATCAGTTTGGTTGAGCGGTATTTTGGCTACTAAACGTTCCAGCGTACAAGCGAATCCACGCAGTAAACATGAAACTCGGTATCACCACTCTTAACAGTGAATGCAGGACGGGGATGGCATCCGGTCGTCTCTTTCTGGCACATCGGATGCCATATGGCTGTTTTCCGCGACGCCGGTCTACACTCGACTACAGCACACACACGCGGCGAGAACACGCTCCGACCGCCGGTGCAGCGTCGCGACGCGTATCAGAAGAAGAAGGATATAGCGGAGTGCCGTCCTAGCAGGTAGTACTACACTCGTGCGCTTTGATAACCCTTTGCTTATCACGAAAAAGGACCGAACAATCGGAGCGGGCGGAAGTTGAAAAGAGATGGTCGATGGGTAGATTAAAACAGAAGCTAACATAAAGGGGGTGCACGTGCGAGGGAGAGGCGCGCATAGGGCGCCCCCGGCGATGGACTGAGATAGTCGAGGTTGTGGTCAAATTGGGCCGGGCCTCGCGGTAACAAAGGACCGCCGCATGCCGTTCCCAGTGAGTTCGACGGAGATAGACAGTAATACGCGGTTTTGCGAATTTGCTAGCGGTGAAGGAGGATGGAAAGCGGTCCTACGCAAGCGCCACATACGCCAAAACCAGATAGGCGGCGAAATTTTGCCCCTTCGTCCTGCCGAAAATAAAATACTCTCGAATGAAACACGAAAAAGGACACCTCTGAAATGTTGCTCACCAGAAAAACCTACGTAAGAACAAATAAAAACTACATAAACAATAAAATCTGAATCATTTAATAAAAAATAAATAAAAAAACACACTAAAATAAGTATCTAGTAAAAGTTGACTACAAAAAAAATGAACCTAGATTAATATGAAGTTAAACAATCATAAAACAAATCACGAAAAATAATTACAAAAACTTTTATAACTCGAGTGTTGGAGACAAGCAAACATTATTCTCAAAGTATTTTTAATTCTTTAATCGTTGCAAATATTTCTTTTAATGAATTATAAAATGAATCATTTAATTTAAATAGAAATACGTGTATCATCTAAAATTTGTGGATGAAAAAAAAATAAAAAACCTTAATGAAACACAAAAAACGACACCACCAAAATGTTGCTAACCAGAAAAACCTACCTAAATAAAAACTACAAAAATTATAAAATCTGAATCCTATAAAAAAACACTAAAATGAGTATCTTCCAAAAGTTGACTACAAACATATTGTACCTAAATGAACATGAAGTTAAACAATTATAAAATAAATCACGAAAAATAAACACTCAAACGTTTATAACTCGAGTGTTAAATATTCTCGAATGAAATACGAAAAAGGACACTTCTAAAATTTTGCTCAGCAGAAAAACCTAGGTAAGATACGAATAAATACTACAAAAAATAACAAAATCTGAATTATTTAATAAAAAATAAAGAAAAACATATTAAAATGAGTTTCTTGCAAAAGTTTACCACACAAAAATTGAACCTAAATGAACATGAGCTTAAACAATTATAAAATAAATCTTGCAAAATAAACACTAAAACTTTTATAACTCAAATGTTGGATATTATTCTCGAATTATTTTGAAAAATTCTGAAAAAAAAAGTGAGACGTACATAAGTGAGACAATAAAAAAGATGAAATTATAAATTAAACCAAATAAAAGTAAATCTTCTCGAAATGAAACATTCTGCTGAAGAATAATAAAATTCTATCCTTCATCGTTGCAAATATTTATGACAAAGAAATATAAAATTAATTATTTCATTTAAATAGAAATATTAAAATGAACATCATCTAAAATTTGTGTATGAGAAAAATAAAAACCTTAATGATACAGGAAGAAGAAACTAAAAATTAACAATCAATTATTTAACAATCTTTATATATGAAATATTTAAAAGTTACTAAATAAACTGAAAAATCTAGTAGGAAAATAATTTAAATTTATAAATTTAATGGGAGTAAAAGAGTATTAACGATACAATTAATATATTTGATGAATCATTAAAAAAATAACACTAAATTAAGTTATTAAATTTTATTTATTAAAAAAATAAAGCAACATTTAAATGAATACAATCTAGAAAAACATGAAATTAGATGAAACAAGTAAATAATTATTAAAATAAATATTACAACCAAACGCTGATGATAAACTTCAAATTCTACAAAATCATAACAAATATCCTTTCAACTGAAAACTTAAAAAAAAAACAGTTATTTTAAAAACAAATACGTAAATTATAATATTTAGGAACTGATTTTTATTTATATAAATTACATTAAGTATTTAAATTTTCTATATAATTGTACTGAATGTATGTTCTAATAGATTTTAGTGATTAAAATGAAAGACAAAGAAATTACCCAATAATAAAACTTTAATAATTACATTCCAAAAAGAAGAGATGATCTATCAAGACGAAAAATAATGTACTAATCCAACAATTATAATGAAAAAATATTATATTTTATTGAAAAATCGATTATTGTTAGATATTTTTAATAATAAAACTCATTTAATATTATTTGTCACATTATTTATTTACATTTTACTGTTTAACTACTATTTTTTTATGTAATAAAGAAAAAAATAATATAGAAATTAATTACATTCCTGTTTCCTGCAATGAAAGAAAAGGATGTATAAATAGCAGGACAGAGGGTAGAAGAGCAGACAGCGGAGGTCGGCAGCGCTAAATCAAGGAAATTTGCAGCACAAAAGGGGAGAAGAGATAAGTTTTAAAGCTGTGTGCATTTTTGTGCAACTGTCCGGTGGCGACCGGCCCCCCCTTTTTGGGGTTGTTAGTTTAATTACAAGGGTGAAACGGGGGCGCACGATATTCCGGTTAATATTGCTGCAGAGCGGAACAGGGTAATGCTCCAAGGTCCGTTAACGTTTTCGGACATTAAAGGGTAGTCCCGACCTCGGCAGCCCTCGCAAAGGGGTCGACTCTATCGCTATTTGTGTGTACACAAGACTTCCACAGCCGAAGCCGAAACAATCTCCTCCACAATAGCGCAAAATTAATGCAAATAGCCCTGTCCCAGCTCATCTCCTCCACTTCCTTAACATCAACTTGCAAGCATTCTTCCGATGCTCGATCATTCCTCAAGCGAAATTCAATTAATTCCGTTGCAAACTACGCGACAATAGCAATCAAGATCCACACGATAACCATTAGTACATTCGTATTCGTACTATACAACAGGAATAGCAGACATAAAAACATAGTTAAATAAATAATTCACTAAGGCATTAATCTAAACCAAATTATGCAAGGACGTATACTTTTATTACTATTAAAAATAATGACAATTTTACAACAACAACAACAATATAATTAATATAATACTAATCAAATTTTATGAAAACAAAAATAAAAAAAAAATATAAATCTTTACAGCGTATTACAATTATATAATGAAAAATCAAAATCTGCTGAAAATGTCTAAATGGAAGAAATACGATTTACTTTTCATATATTTTTATCAAAATTATTACAATAATTTGCAATATTTTAAAAGTAAATGCGTAATTATAATATTCTTAATACAATTATCAAAGCTTTATAGAATTCTTATTTCTCAATATATTTTATACCAACAAGAAAACTCATAATTTATTAACTAAAAAACATAACACAACATAAAAATCACATTTTTAAAATATTTTAAGGAAGACAAATTTGTAATGTAAAATTCCTGAAAGAATATAAAAAGGACATTACAACATAATAATGACAAATTAAAGATGATTTTTAGATTAAGATCTACAAATTCAGATCATCCAAATCCATCTTTATTTAGCTGCTATATCGTTTTATATGTTATATTGAACTTCAACCTAATTCTATCTATATTCAGATACTTCAACTATTTTGACATTATTTCAATGGTCACCATTAGCTATTTTTTCATGTAAGCATTTTATTGAAAAGAAATGGAATAATAATATAATTATGAACTTTTACTAATCATGAAAACATATAACTGTTTACTTTTATTGAAGAAGATCTGTGGTTTTAAAAGATAATGATATTCCAAATCTGATCATCCAGAATAATAAAGCTCTCTCTATTTGATTTGAATGAATCAAAACATTCAATGATAACAGATTTCAACTGTTTAAACATTTTCTCAAAGCTCACTTTAAATCTTTAGATTATAAATATTATTGATTGAAGAAATTTCATATTTTGACCCAAATTCTTAAATACACCATTTTTTTAAATTTTATTCTGTAATATGTGGGAAGAAAAATGTTTGTATGATTTGTTATTATTCAATAATATATTATATAATATATTGATGTTTATAGGTATAAACTTCCAAATAGTAATAGACTTAAGAACTTTTACTAATTATGAAACATATAACTGTAAACTTTTATTAAAAATGATCTGTGGTTCTAAAAGATAAAGATATTCCAAATCTGATCATCCAGAATAATAAATCTCTATTTGATTCCTATAAATCAAAACATTCAATCATCACAGATTTCAATTGTTTAAACATTTTCTCAACGATCACTTTAAATCTTTAGATTATACAAAATAAATATTATTGATTGAAGAAATTTCATATAATTCTGAAATAAATTTCACAAATTCTGAAATACACCATTTTTATTTTAAATTTTATTTCTGTAATATATGAGAAGAAAAATATCCATATTATTTGATATTATTCAATAATAACAAATAATAATGAATAAGTCATAATTATTTCATTATGATAATAATATATTTTTTTATATTTACTTTTTAGAGAAAACAATTGACTAAACATGTTTAAATACTTACACGAAATTATAAAAAACGGATATATTTATATAAACTATAGGTCTGCAAATAGTTTCATTAAGATCAAATGTTTTTTTTTATCAAAAATTCTCTCTTTATTCTTCTATTAATTATTAATTCAGTAATACTTTTAGAAATTTGTTACTTATTAATTAAAGCCATGACGACAATTATTTGATATATACCAAATCGTGTTTAATCACATTTCTAGTATTATTTAATTATTACTTCATTAATTGAATTTCGCGTTTATAATTTGGATTATCAGTAAAATAGAAAATAGATCCCGAAACGCACAATGATATAATATTCGTGAAACACCTGGAAAAGTTTTATAAGTTGGATTACAATTCACAAAATTTATTACCTATACAAT